AGTAATGTTGGGCTAAACTCCGCCTGGAGTCACTCCGAGGGCTACTGCCGGTCCCAAGCCCGGATAAAGGAGGAGGGTTGAGCATGAGGTTAGCGCCCCCATCCCGTAGAAAACTAACTCGCTAAAAAAACGCTAAAAACGCTATGTTGTGCTAAATACAATTCGGTCATCCACACCTGTGTTCTCCTTCACTACATTTGGTGTAGCTTCCAATCAGGAGAGGGGAAGGGCGCTGTTCTGCGGACGCCGCTGCGGGCATGGGACCAAAGTGCTAGTTGGGGCAGTTCAGTGTGGAGAGGTGGCGTCGATTGGAGTGTTCTAGTAAGGTGGCGTTGGCTGTGTCAGGTGCTGTCGACGGAGAGGGAGGGTGCGGCTGCTGGGCGAACATCGGATGTAGACGGCTCAGCAGGCCGGTTGAGCACGTGTGTTAAGCGTCCTGGGTTCGGATGTTGTTGCCCCGGCAGGTCGATGAAGCTGTAGGGGTTAGCGCGCCGCATTTCGACGAAGAGCGTAGCGCAGAGTGCAGAAACGAAGAATGTGGCACGGCGAGTATGAACCACCACAAGAACGACTGCTTTAAAGGGGGGAAGGAGTGTGATGTGTTCTACTTGTATTAACATAAGTAGTATATGATATTAGTCATGAATAGAAGGTCTGGCATCAGTGAGACAAGAAGATCGAACAGTAAAGAGTCGAAACAAAATGCGATTTGTATGAAAGTGCAGGAGAAATCCAGTCTGAGTCATTTTGGGACAACTGATGGACATTTTGCAAATTAGGCATTTACTGCATGATTTTATTAACAAGTCCTGTAATTTTGTGACGAATACATTCGATTGTTTCCCATTAGTGTTCTTGTTCACTACAGTATCGGTTATATATTTATTCATGTGGTTTTTTAAGTTAGTTTGAACAAAAAAGTTGGAAAACAGCTTCAACTAAATCGTCTTCTCTCTTTCTTCGCGTATAAACCCAACATGCTATAGGTCAGTGGTGAGATAGTGTTACAAGTCTTAGGGTTGTACTAATTAACCTGTCACTGCAACACCTTAAACTAGATCGCAACATTTTACCTCACCATATTGCCCCCAAATGCCCTGGTACGGCCGAGAGTGGGGAGAGTCCGCTCTCCCTCTCGAAATGCTCTCACATGGTCACGCGTATATAGCCTCTGCCAGGGAAGTCCTACTCACTGCCTTCTCGTGGCTGGGGTGTTTTTTACGAAAATGAGAGGACGAAAAGCGAATGTCTGGCGCTTTAACCGGATTTCAAATCAATGGTGCACATGGGCTCCAGTATCTTGCGGGAACAAATGGCGTATGAACCAATTGTTGGTCACCGGCTTCCATGGGACTGCATCTCCTTACGATGCTCCACTGCCTTGTGGATCAGACCCTCAGGACGAAGGCTCCGGGTGTGGCCCCCTAAGAAAACCACCTGCTTCGGTTTGGGCACCCGGTCAGTATCAAAGCCCTCACACATATCGAATGAGATTTGTGTGGCGCATATGTATTTGGTGCCTCTTTGTACAAATATCTATGTGTTGAAATGAATAAATAAAAGAAAATAACACATTTTCAGTAACGAAGACTTAGAAAAGGTTATTTCGCCTTGTCAGTTATCTCTATATAACAGATAATAATCTCTGCAAATCACAATGATTGTAACTAGGTTCGATGATAATTAAACGTAAATAATCTAGCATAACGTACTCAGCTTTGAGTCACTGTGTTTGTATTATGGCTAGTATTACTTACTACTAACTGCTGAAACTAAAGTAAAAAAAATAAGAGATTCGAACCCACGACCTACTGAATAAAGCAACTAACAGCTCAACTTACTCGGTTAGAAATATGATAAGTCTTCTAACTGAACGCTAGATTCGGTTCCTAAACTCTTCTAGAAAACCCAAGGCTAGATCTGCACAGCGACTTGGACACCAGAGAAAAGGCGGGAAATATGAAACGAATGCTTTACTCCAAAGGTTCGTTTATGTACAGAAAATTTAGGGCTTTATAGTATTTTAGATGGCCTTGGATTTCCGGAAAAATCTGGAACGCTACTAAACACAATAGCAGTATAGGTAATCTTCCAGAAACTCGACATGTAGCTTTTCACATTCTAGATGTTTTTGGCAAAACGTCTACTGAATGCTGATTAGATATGATGGTTCTCAGTGTTTTCAGAGACTTTGTTGGCTTTTTAGAGGAGTCTTCGGGATCTCCTCAACAGAATGAATCTTTGCTATTATCAATTTTTGCTTGTAACCTATTATAGAATCACATTCAAGTGACATCTGAATTTGGGCTGTTTACAATCAGCTTCGAGTTGACCATATATACAAATCGATTTCATGGAATGATTTAACCAGTTCAGTTTATTTTATTTCAGCTTAATTTTAATTAAATATCTACTCATAAGTACAATAGATTATCTTTAATACACACTCATTCAATTCACATAATCAACATGCAAAATATACCAATCGTCTAACAGATTTACGTGAAATCATGTTATTGTACATACTTATGACAAATTGAAATACCTTCGTGATCCGCCGTCATATCTTGGAGGGTTAGGGATGCATCCTGCGCTAAAATACAGCTTTCAAAACCGGATGGTGACTAAAGTACACAGGCAAAAATAATACATTTGAATTGGTCCAGGGTTAGTGAACATAGACTAAAACGCCCCCATGCTCATTTCACTTTACCATCATCAATGGATACCTCCAAACAACTGTAACGAATGCTGTATGGGTATGACTGTTTAAAAATAATCTTTAGAAGGATAATAACTATATCCTGAAAATTAATATCTCTAGACAATTCCAGCAAAATGAAATTCGCATAACCGACATATTCACTTATTCCCAACTTTCTGAGAGCACGAACTTTTATATCACTTTCCAGATCACCCAATTAGATTTCAAACAAACCTTCATATTTGTCGTATTCATGTAATTCCATTTTCGGTATCAAAACTGGTTTCAGTACCTTATCAATTGTATTCGAAAAAACTGAGGAAATCGATGAGTTACTTTCTACGTTAGCACGTGAGTTCATAGAGTCCAACAACTGACACATACATCCCTACAATTATTCTCCATCACCCTACGAGTTAACCCTAGACGGAAAAATTACTTACTTATGAAAAGAGATAAAAATACAAGATCACTATTATTCCAATGACGGAAAGTAAGAATACAAAGGACTAGTCCAAATGAAGATTTCTTCACTCCAAAACACGACTCTAGCAGGAGATACATTTAATTATGTAATTATTTGTGCATTCATTTAATTATTGATTGGATAAAGGTCATATATATGAAAGATGCCCAGAATTATAACAAAATTCCAATGATGAGTATAATCTATGTTTCAATGAATATCATATTGGATAGAAATCCCACTGGAAATGACATCAATCTTATGTTAAACAAATTATTACACTGAAGACCAATACTATTCTGAGCAGTTATCATACTGAATTAAGAAAAGAAGTATTATTCAGAGAATTAGAAGAGAAACGTGATCTCGTATTCTTATTCAATTTAGTCAGAATGATCTTAACATGAAGAATGAAGTAATCCATTTTGAGCATCAAAAAAGTTTACCCTCTAACACACTATCTATGTTAATTTCGCTACTTGATCGACGCTGAATACGGCTTACGACTAAGACACTCAGACGTTGGAACTTCACTGTCGTAAATCAGAAGACAGAAGAAAAACTAGAGGTGTTCATTTGATAAGAATCGAAATGTACAGAAAATCACGGGTGTTTATAGATATTATCATTTGTTAAATCAACATTATAATTAGACCAATCTGCAAAGAGACATATTATGCTACTGCCCAATCGTGGCATGTCACGTTGATATTCTAGAAAGCTCCATCATGTTCTGATTGGATGGAAACTCTTCGGTTGCATTAAGGCCTCTGGAAGTTCCGTTGTAGTTCTCAGAAGCCGACTCATCAGTCTACTTAACAGCTGCCTTACTACTTTAAATCATATGCTACTAATCATAAGAAGAATATAGTTTAAATAAATATGCGAATTTATTCATTGATAATTGTAGTGAAACATGTATTGATACTTTGCATGAAACACTCATGAATATATGAAAATGTCATTATTTGCAGTCATCCAATTCTACTACTGATATACAAGTTTCTTTTATACATGCCCCAAACCAGCTACTTAAATGAAAAAGCCAAAAGTGAATAGGAGGGATTTTATTGGTTTAATGGAATGAAGAACACATATGTGGAAAACTCGTCGATATAAAGAACAAACAGATTACTGATTATTAATAAGTAATATAAGGTAATATACAAAATGAACTGGTTTAGAAGAGAATAATGTAGAAGACAAAGATTTGAAAAAAGGAAAGAGTATGATTATACCTACACTACTGTAAACAATTCTGAACCATATCAACTAATAAATCGAGTTTTAACTACTATTTTCTGAAATGCTGCAACGTATTAGTTCAACCTCCCTTAGTCTTCCTCCCGGTATATTCTCTACACTAAACAGTATTGAGGTTAGTGGTGAGTGTTCTAACGTAATAGGCAACTGTAGACCATCTTAGTTAATGAAAGTTTACAACCTTTACCTAATACCTTACACACAATGTACCTACCATACATGAGCAATGGTTCGAATACATCTCTTGTTAAACAATACATAACCCTATGAAAGTAAGGTTCACATTTTAAAGCAATAAAGTGAAACAAAGTAAATTGTATACACGTCAATCGATAAGTAGATAGATAATCTTGAATAGGTTACCAATATCAAAATTCGATAGAACTCAAATGAGCTTTACAAATCCCTGTCTAAACTTTATCCAACTTTTGAATATTGCATAATCTTCAGAAAAGATAACAATTTTTGAGAAGAAAAAAAGGTATAAAGGAGTAGATATGGAATAGAAAAAATTATTACATACACACACACATACATACATACATACATACATACACACAAATAAATTTACAATTCTGGATGTAATTTCTTAAATAATTCATCAGGATCTTCACTGCATGCAGCTGGTGTAATCAATTGCATAACATATTCACATCGAGATGGTTCACTCACTGAAGTCAAATGATTTGAATCACCACAATGGACAAATACCTAAAATTTCATTTTCAAAAAATGAATATTGTTTACACATGAATGTATATTAACAAGTTTAAACGATAATAAAGTAATCCTTTTTTTAATTAGGATTTTGTACATTCAAATCATTCATAATACTATTGTCATGTTTTATTTAGTTGGAGACAGTAAGCAAGATTCATGTCATTGAAACATGCTTGGGATCTTGTAGGAAGATTCAAATCTATGTAAATTGGTTTCACAGTCTAAAATATTACCAGTGAACTGTCCAAATTGTAACTGAACTCCTGTTATCATATCTTCGAGCGACAAATTAGTCAACTAGAATACAACAAGTTAGTTACTAATCTCAATGATAAAATTATGATTCAACTTAGGATCAGTCAGCTACAACGTAGGACCAGGCACATATGTGCATCGGTCCAGGTTGCCATACCGCATCAACACAACAAGATGAACATCAGATTCATAACAGTGGTTAGGTAAAAGGTGGTAATATATAAGAGAAAGATTGCATATAGAGATATAGTACAAGAAGAAAGAATTGGTTAGTAGAAAGAAAGATATGAAGCGATTTTAATCTCATAGTTTAAGGAAAGACAGGGAGTGTATACACCGCCTACGCCATTGTGATCGATTCTGAGCCATGTCACCAAGAGTCTCCAACCATTGGTTACGATAGTCACGCGGACCCCAACCAAGTAGTCTGCATCTACCAACATGGCTCAGACTAGAAGTTAGTGACTTCAAGCACTGATGCCACGTTTTGGTTTGGCCGCCCCTAACTTTCTTCCAACCATTTCCAATACCGGACAGCATTGCACGTCGTGGTAATCGGTGTTCAGGCATACGTAACACGTGGCCCAACCATTTCAGTCAATGAAGATTCATAACCTCATCAACTGATTTACCATCCTTTCCTAATACCCTGCGTCTAACCTCACTATTACTTACCCAGTTATCCCAGCAGACGCCAGCAATATTTCTAAGGCATCTGTAATCAAATACTAATAGCTTACGAGTGTCTTCTACTCTTAATGACCATGTTTCGCTGCCGTAAATTAAAACAGAACGGACTGCCGCGCAGTATACTCGTCCTTAGGATATTTGATTCTTTTTTTGAATTCGTCTAAAGTAAGATGAAACTGTACACAGAACTTTCACTTTCATCTTTGAACATGTAAATCATTCTAAATACAATGAGAACACTATTAGGCAATAATAGTATGTTAGTTTTTACAGAACTCATAGAAAAGTCAATAAACTAAATTGCCTGTCAGTCTAAATGTTTGAATACAAAAAACAGATTTCACAGAAGAAACATTCATCTTTATTGTTTATTTTAGATTATTATTGTAATATGTACGCAGAGGTACATTTCACGTTGAACACTAAAATCTATTTTTGATTGTGGTTCAACAAGTGAAAATTTCGTCACATCAATCATTCAAACACCCCTCCCTTCATAACAATTGATACCTTTTCTAGTTGCATTGAGCAATTCATTCAACATTAATACACAGATCAGAAATGGGTTTTTATTTATTTATTTATTTATCCATTTGAACACATAGATACTGGTACAAGGGGGAACCAGATGATACATATGCGCCACGCAAATCTCATTTGATTTATGTATCGATTGTCAATTAGCTAAATTAATTATACACCATTCAACTCATATGAAGTTTCAAATCCATAGAAGCATAATGATGTATAGGCGAGAATGATAATGAGTAGTTGTTTGCTTAGTCGAACATATAGATAATCTGATAGGTGTTAAATGAGTTATATATTCTTCTATTCTTATTACTGATTGTTTATTATTGTTGGATTGTGTCGGGTTATTTGGTGTGGAAATATATATTTACGTTCTCAACTGTATTAAGTTAGTAAAATTTGTGTTATGAGTATTATGTAACCACAAAACTAGTCATTGATTTTCATTTCATTTCACTAGAAATGTGAACAAGTCAGTCGATCAGCCATAAGCAATATAGAACTTAGATATATATGGTCTAAGGTAGCATACAATATCAGCATGGCTCAGTTGACCTTTTACAACTTGCATCGCGTCCGCCTTTCAGTTAACAATCCTGAGGTTATGCATCGAGACAGAGATGGCAAATTAGTTAATAAAGCAGTGAATCTTCATTAACTGAGGTTGTTGAGACGCTCAATCACCAGCTGCTAAGACAAGTTATATCGTTTGGTGTAGGAAGTAGGTTGGTAGAAAGCTAAGGGTGGTCAAACCAAAAAGTAGCATTAGACATTAACAATTAAACTGACCTATGTAAATAGGTAAAAAATATCAGGTTAGGGTCTGTGCAATAACCGTAGCAAATGAATGGAGTGAAGTGACTGTGAATCGTTCGCAATGACACAAACGCATTTTCTACTTATCCTTCCTTGGTTCTTGAATCCCAAAATCTTCTTATACCGTTTATTCCTTCTTTTATACTAACGATATTCTACTACCATTACCAATACTAAAACTGCCTTTATTACAATGGGATTGGTTTTGATAATTTTATTTCGGTGTCTTACTGCCTTCTCATGCCACCAAATACTAATACTGAACCAGTCTTTCAAAAACCACATACACCATACAAACTGGCCTCCTTTAACGTTCCTTTACTAATGCAGATCGAATAACAGAGAGATTCGGATATGCCTTTAGAAAGTTTCAACATCGATGTCTGTTATATGTTCGAAACGTGTGTTCGAAAGTCTAGTGAACTACTACATATTCGCTTCTCATCTGTCGATTCGAAAAATTAGTTTCATATGCATTTATTCCAGGACCCTGTGATATCTTCGTCTGGTTTTGTCAGCGTTCATACCACACTGAGCACCAGAGATGAAACAACACAAATCGATCGGATCCCCATCAACAGTCATTTACGTGCTGTAGGTAATGGTGGTGTGGATCCGTTGTCTGGCGAAAGACTTGTCGACCTTGAGTTTACGGATGATATTGTCTTACTGTGTGATGATACCCAAGTCACACAAGAACAAATCCGTGAAATAAAAAGTACAAGATAACTTTAAAACTCTAGATGTACGGGAAAACAAAGTGTTGATGTATCTGGGCTACTGAAACGATTTTGAACTATGTTAACCAGGCTCTAACTACTGGATAAGATAATCGTGCGAACTTCAACCATGTACTTTGGACTCACCAACACAGTTCAGTCAAGCTATCAATGACTTCATTGACTGATGTAAAGTTCGATCTGTTCACCACTATTTTTTGTTCAACCTACTCCTATACTAGCTATCAGCTCTCATCGAAGTCGGTGGTGTTTGGGCATGAGTAATCCATGTTCTAACCACCTCAATTGTCACAAATGTATTACCGATTTAAAGGTCAAATAATTTATTAATTACTCGAAGAAAATCCTTTCCTGATTAACATAAAATACTAGTATTTGAAATATCATGTTCTGCCAGTATACAACTGACATTCGCGAAACGAACATTACCCTATCTTTCTTCTTTCAATGGATCCTTTAGTACATCACGTTGTCTCTAAGCTTTCAAATGGTCAATCTACAGACTATACATTCAGACGAGTTTATTTCTTTTTGTTGAAGTGAAGATAGCAATTTTCCGATTACCGTATACAGTAGAATCCTATAAGGTGCTGTTGTCTGTTTATCGTCAGCTGGTACTGGGCTCATACAATTTAAAGATATGTTCTTATTTAGAAAATTGAAAACCTATTTAAGCTATATTTCAGATGTAAATGTTATTGGTATGAATAAACTTGCCCAAACCGAAGAAAGTGAAGAGGGATTCGAACAAGCAGCTTAATACTTGTCCCCACAGTTATAGAGCTACACAAATTATACAGAAATAATTTGGCGTATAGAGGAAGATGACTGCATCATCGAAATAAATCCATGGATAAGGATTGCGAATACAAAACAATTCCATTCACAAACAGAAATTAAGATATCGTAAGCAGAGACATAGTGATTAACAGTGGAGTCTAGGAAGCGCGTTTCGTCCTACTTGAGACTCGTCAGCTGTATGAACCTGGAGTGAGTTGATCTTCACACTTGGGCTCGAACCCAGTACCGTTCGCATCAGACGCCATCACGTTATGCACTTAGCTACTGAATCCAGCTAAATACTGATTAATTGCAGTCCTAAATATAAACGGGAAGATTTAGGAAACCAATACAAAAGTAAATTAGAAATTAAATCATTTCGAAAACATACCTTGGTAGTTCTTGTTGGTCCATTCCAACACTGTTGACCGTTTTCGTAATACATAACTTTATAAGACTTTTCATACTCATCAGATTCTAACCAACGACCCCATCGACCTATACATGTTCCTGGATCAGAATTCGATGAACCAATTGATTTTTGATGAACTGATTTAAAAGGACAAAGGCTGTATGTGTATTCTCGATCGTTCAACTCTAAACAACCATCTGGTAATTCAGTAAGCATACGAAAACCTTCTTCTGGTCCATAATCGATAGGAATAGGCGTTGGTATACTGTAAAAAGTATAAAAGAAAGTAAACAATGTATATATTTATGGACAGGGAGTAAAACTCGAATCAAACAGACACATTCGATTAATAAAACAAAATGCATAACTTTCCGTTTACGTTATTTTTGAGGCAGTAAAAATTCCCTATGGTTTACTGAGAGAATAACTTTCATGAGGTAGCGACTGACAACAATAAACAAACATGCGTAACCCATGCCATGCGGAAGGAGAAACATTAGCCTTCAGTAGTCACACTTCGGTAAATCTGTTTGTATGTTTCCAGTGAGTATTTATCAAATGGTTATCTTATAGTAAATTTATATGAGACTAACTGTAAGCTACCTTTTAATTCATTAATCATCTGACGTTTATAAATAACAGTTCCTTAATTACAGATATATCAGGAGATATCGTCCCATGGTAGCTGGTGACCAACGATTGGTTCATACACCATTTGTTACCTCAGGATACAGGAGTCCATGTGCACTATTGGTTATAAATCAGGGTTTTCAGAATGCCCTGGGTTGACGTTCCGTATCCACCAACGCGGGTAAAGCACCGGACATTCGCTTTTCGTCCTTCAGCTTTCGTAAACAGCAGTAATAACTCGAGAAGGCAGTGAGTAGGACCGACCGAAGCTGCTATCCCGACCGAAGCTGCTACCTTGACGTGGTGGTCGGGCTTGCCTATCGTGATGACCCATCCGAGCTATATTGGCTGGAACATATGTTCCTGTAGGTTCTACCATGCCAGGCAGGTCGATTGGTGAACGGTAAGACTAAAAGCAGCAACTCAAAGTCTGAGGGCGAAGTCGTACTGCTGACTGTACAGAGGTGTGACAGCAGTAAGGTGTTTCCTTCGGACAATCAGCATGACAGCGATGCTGCCTTCCCACAAGGAGGGGTGGGGTTAGAAAAGGTCGACCCTAAAAATGTCACACCTCACCTTACCTCACGGATTTCCGTCTCCGGCGGTAAGGCCATCTGAAGAACGGAGCTAACACGTCAAAAACCTTCTACAAAAAGGCCGTGCGCGACCGGCCTCAAGCAGTTGTCCCTTGGGCTCTGCGGTCACGCTCCCAGGTCGTTAAGACCAACACTAATCCAATTTCCTTTTCAGGTTCCTCAAGAAATACCCTTCCACGGTGTGGGCAGCCGGGAAGTGACATCAGCCCTCATACCCGTAACAGCACGCGAGACCAAGTTGGTCACATTCAAATCCTTCCTACACCTAATACCTCTCTTATTTCCATAACTAACCCTCCTCACGTCTCTTTATCACCTCGCACCGCTAGGGCAAACGATTCGAGTACGTGGAACGCTATTCCTGGTCTCCTGAAACCACGCACTAAACTACACGTAGGAGCTTTTAACGTACGAACACTGTGCCAAATAGGACAGCAGGCTTCCTTAGCTAGGACTTTAGAATCTTACGCCATCGATGTGTGTTGCGTCTCCGAAACGCGCATACAGGATCCAAGTAGCATCATTCATTTAACATCACCATGCCAAAATAAAGAACCGACTCGATTTACGCTTCGTGTATCTGGAAGCCCTGATTCTGCTTCCCGTGGCCTCGCCGGCGTAGGTATAGCATTGAGTCCTAGGGCAGAACTAGCTCTCTTAGAGTGGATCCCAGTAGACAGTCGTTTGTGCGCTGTCCGACTGAACGGAACAGTAAGAATCCGGAAAGATAGGGACACTCGTCGTTGCCTCTTCGTCGTCTCTGCCTATTCTCCCACTGACTGCAGCTCAGATGATGTAAAAGATGAGTTTTACAGAAAGCTTTCGGACCTTCTCGGAAAAGCTAAGCGCTCGGACGTAGTAATAGTGGCCGGAGACTTTAATGCTCAAGTAGGTAAACTGAGCGATAGGGAAAGACACCTAGGTGGATCTTATGGTGTCGTGGCTCAAAGAACAGATAACGGCGACCGTCTGTTGCAGCTATGCTCAGATAACCGCCTGTTCCTTGCAAATACTAACTTTAAGCATAAGGAAAAACATCTTTTAACATGGCGACCCCCTAATTCGTCCCAACGTTGGACCCAAATAGATCACATCGCTATCAGCCACCGATGGAGGGGCTCGATAGAAGACTGTCGCTCATTCTGGAGCACATGCCTAGATTCAGATCATGCTCTAGTACGAGCGCGTATTTGCTTGCGTCTTGCTGGACGTAGGAAAAACGCTGCAAGGAAACCTCTTAGGGGCCTACTTAATGATAGTCAAGCTAAGAGTATATTTCAGGAACAACTAGGAAAACAGTTAGGCAGCCATGTATGTGATGCCCACCCCGAGGCAGCATGGAATGATATCCGAAAAGCTGTGGAAACAGCAGTGATATCTGTTAGTAAGGTAAACCACAAGGTTAGGGAGCAACACTGGATCTCAGCAGCATCTATCGCACTGATAGATGCTCGGAAACTCATTCCACCTGGCTCTGAACATAGTGAAGAGCGGAGTCAACTTAAGCGCAAACTGACAAGAAGTCTACGCAATGATCGCGAACAGTGGTGGGTAGCGAAAGCAAGAGAGATGGAAAAGGCAACGGCAATAGGTAATAGCAGACAATTGTTCAGACTCGTTAAGGAAACCGGAATTAGGAACCCGACTGTTAGCGAAACAATCGCAGAGAAAGATGGACATATTATTCATTCTCAATCCAGGAGATTGGATCGATGGGCAGAACACTTTAGGGATCAGTTCAACTGGCCTTCAGCCACACTTCGGTTTCCCACGATCTCCAGTCAACCTGAATGGCAAGTTAATGTAAGTCCTCCGTCTCTTTATGAAGTTGAAAAAGCCATAGGAAATTTGAAACGAGGGAGAGCAGCAGGCCCTGACAGGTTTACTCCTGAGATTTTTAAGGATGGTGGTCCAGTATTAGCAATGAGATTAACCGAGGTCTTAGGTAGAATTTGGGAACTGGACGTAATCCCATCTGACTGGTCTCAATCACTGATTGTACCAGTTTATAAGAAAGGACAAAAGTCCTCTTGTGACAATCACAGAGGAATCAGTTTGACTAATATAGTGTCTAAAATATTAGCTTCAATAATACTTCGACGCCTAATCAAAGCTCGTGAAGAGCAAACTAGAGAAAACCAGGCCGGTTTTCGATCTGGACGTGGTTGTATAGATCAGATATTCACACTACGTCAGGTTCTAGAACACAGACACACATTCAGACGCCCCACAATGGTAGTATTTCTCGATCTTAAGGCGGCATTCGACTCTGTTGACCGTGAGGTTCTATGGCAGTGTTTGTCACTGAAAGGAGTACCAAAGAAGTACATTAACCTTATAAAGGCTCTCTACTCGAACACATCTGGTAGAGTGAGAGCTTATGGCGAACTGTCATCAGAATTGATTACCTCAAGTGGTGTTCGTCAGGGCTGTCCACTCTCTCCATTCTTGTTCAACTTTGTGGTCGACGTACTTTTAGAGATAACACTCTCCTCATCTAAATTTCCAGGGGTTGAACTTCTACCGGGAGGTTCACTTGTTGACTTAGAATATGCAGATGACATAGTTTTATTTGGTGAAGACGCTGACAAAATGCAGAGTCTTCTGATCACTCTAAGCAACAATGCAAGCATGTTCGGGATGCGATTCTCTCCCTCGAAATGCAAAATGTTGCTTCAGGATTGGGTTACATCGACACCCGAACTAGTGATAGGGAGTGAAGTAGTTGAGTGTGTCGACCGCTTCACTTATCTTGGAAGTCTCATCAGCCCTTGTGGTCTGGTGTGTGACGAAATCTTAGCACGGATACAGAAGGCTCGACTAGCTTTTGCCAACTTGCGTCATTTATGGCGTAGGCGAGATATCCGTCTACCAACCAAAGGACGTGTTTACTGCGCAGCAGTTCGTTCCGTCCTACTTTATGGCTGTGAAACATGGCCGGTAAGAGTAGAGGATATTCGTAGGTTACTAGTATTTGATCATAGGTGTCTTCGAAGTATTGCTCGTATATCCTGGGACCACCGAGTAAGTAACGCAGCTGTTAGGAAACGGGTACTAGGTAAGGATGCCAAATCAATTGATGAAGTGGTGAAACTTCATCAGTTGAGATGGCTGGGACACGTGTTACGTATGCCCAACCACCGACTACCTCGACGTGCTATATTCAGTGGTATAGGAGTAGGTTGGAAGAAAGCTAGGGGCGGCCAGACCAAAACATGGCACAAATCCATGAAGTCACTGACAAGTGGACTGAGTCATGTTGTTAGGTGTAGACTACCTGGTTGGGGACCGCGAGATGATAGCAACCGATGGTTAGAGACCCTGAATGACATGGCTCAAAATCGATTGCAATGGCGCAGGTGCATCCACTCTCTATGTTCTCCCAAATTCTAATTATCTGAATTCTTCATGCCCCTTTTTTTCCTCTTTCCAAATTTATTGCACTGGATTATACTCGTTAAATAACATCTCCAAACCCTAATCCTCCCGATTACTGCTTATACTCTTGCTACCTCTACCACTACGGGATTTGAATCGACCACTGCATCTCTGTGTGCTAATGTGGTATGGCAACTCGAACTGATGTACGTACGTACGAAGTTCTACGTTGTTGTTTCTACTACTACTACTGAGTAGGACTTCTCTGGCAGTGGCTGTATACGCGTGTCCATGTGAGAGGATTTTGAGAGGGAGAGCTGACTCTTCCCACTCTTGGCCGTACCAGGGCATTCGGGGGTACATAAGGATTTTTAAATCCAACTAATCACATGACGGATACAGAAACGTTGACAAAAATACGATTTTTCTAAAAGAAAAACAATGGACTCTAGAGATAATCGATTTAAATTTGTACTTGGCGAGTTACATAGTTCAACTGGTGATTATGTCAAAATTTTCATGAAACTATTGGATCTTGTATACAATCAAAAGTTCGTCTGTTCCGATGATTCTGCTCAATTTGAAGATAACAGAAAAATTTGTATGTGTAATTAGTCATTTATTTACGTGATATTCTAGCACAAAACTTTATAACTGAAAA